GGGCACGGAGAACAAAACATCGTTACATTGCGGTGAGCAAAACTTGATGGGCAGAACTTGGCGCGGTGAGTAGACATGGTACTTAGCGTAGCATAATGCATGCACATTTGCATTCTCGAATTCCTAGGTGATTCGAGGTTAAAGTACTCGCGCCGAGTTTGTTTCAAACGGAAGCATAGCATCAGATTAACTGAATTCTCTCTGTATACAACTTCCTTCCTCATCTGTAGTCACTTCGTTAACCAAATTCACACCACAAAGGCAATAGCGAAGCCCTTCCTCCGTGTTGACGATAAGTTGTGCAGGTGCAGTGCTCAGAAGGGATGCAGTTAAAAAAGAAAAGGTTGGGGCGTAATGAGATGGCATTGTTCCTCACTGAGCTAAGTATCTCTCAAACAGGAGTCGTCTAGTTGGCGGACAAAACAGAGGGAGGCGACTTCAAATAACGGCAGATCTCCCCTGTCAAGTCAATGTCACATGCCGCGTGCCCCTAAGGACTGCTTTTGCCTTTCAGCAATATCAAGCACACCTTCCAGTAGGCGGGCTTCAGTGACTGAATAAACTCCTTTCTGTCAAAAAAGGGCAAAACCCCTCCATTCGCCAATCTGTGCACCCACTTATTTGTTAATTCCACTGCCCTTTCACGATGGGAGCATCGGAAGAGTGACACGCCTGACTGATGCAAATGGCACCGACTATTAACTGTTAACTCAGCTGTTTGACAAACACCAACTTTTTAGCCGCTTGTAGTAGTAGCCTTCTCTATTCCTTTTCCCTTAATATCAAATGCCTACAAACTTCACTGTGATTTCCAGAAGTAAATGGTCAGTAGGTAAGGGATTACGCTGGTCAAATGCACCCTCGCAGTCCAATAAATTGAGGCGTAATAGAGCAATGAAACTAAAGGCGTACTTCAGAGACCTCACCCAAATCTGATTTATGGTATGCTCCACCACAATATCTAATTTTACTTTTCCACCTAATGTAGGAGAATGCTCTCTTTCTTGACAATGCAGCTTTTACCCCCTACTCCCTTTTCCACCCTCTCCTCCTCCTCCACCTCTTTCGTCAATCCTAACACCAGCAGTTTAGGCAAGTGATTGAACACTGAAGTTGCAACTGTGAGAGTGGAAAGTTGTGGGAACACTGTTAATGCAGCCACAGAGAAGTGTGGAAGTAAATTAGCACAAACGTTTTAACTCGGCAGTTGCAGAGGCAAGAACAGGCAGAGCACTTCTCTCTCTGTTCATTTCATTATAAATGCCACCAAACTGTACAATAAAGTAGAGAGCGATATAGTTATTTTATTTGATCACCGACGTAAGTGAATTTCGCAGAGTAAACGCGCCTTAGTAGTTCAATGGAGAGTAACAT